AAGAGCAATGGGATATCTCACTCCCATTGTTGTAACCGTAGATGGGAAAAATGTAACCTTGAAGAATAATGCGAATGACTTGACGCTCAGTGAGCAAATGCAACGAAGTTTTCCGGGAGTGCGTAATCGAGTTGGGCAGTGCTGAAACTATAATTTCATAAATCGATTGACAAAGTTTGCTAAATTGGGGTGTGGGAGGGAGCGGTCGACTAATAGACAATCTCCAATAACAAAGAATCTGCAATCTGGAGCACACGGTTCCTGATGACGCGAATAAAAATCATTTATTCGCATTCAACTCAGTTCCTCGTGAGTAGTGGTGTGGGGTAACTGATATTGATTGATTTGACTGATTATCGTTCGGATTTCACCTTCACGCACAGTCCTCCTCCTCCTCCTCCTCATCAATTCAACCATACACTCGGAAGCACAACAGACTTTAGTTTCGCTCTTATTAGAGCTCCTCAGCAGTGCATATCTACCGTCCCGTCCGGGATTTGAACTCCGGACCCATCGCATGGAAGGCGTGTGCGTAACCACTGTGCCAACCAGCTCACGAACAAACGAAACTTTCAATTCATGTTTGTTAAGGTGTTTTATTCAGTGATAGTCAGTCAGTTCATTTAGCCCGACAGCAAAGAAGGGAAACAGAGCTGACAATCTGTTAACTCTAATCGATGAATTGAGGATTGCGCGTGAAGGTGAAGTCCGAAGGATAGTCAGTCAAATCAGTCAATAGTCATTTAGTCTGATTGGATGTGCGACAAGTATCACGTGGGCATAAAAAACAGTTTTAACTTCCATATATTTTGCGAATTCACCTCACAGTGTGTTTTTGATAGAAACTATTGTATGGTTTCCGGCCGAGAGAGAAAGAGAGCAATGCTGATGAGCCCTGATAAAGACGAAACAGCTCACAGTATCCTCCTAGTCACTGATTACAGAATAATTCCCATTGCAAATTTATTTCGTTCCAAATGTGACAAGTAAGTGAGCTCTCGAAGACTGGAACCGACAACTGACAACATCCCAGTATGATACACAATACTAAATTTATGTGTAAACTGTAAATTCAAAGTGTTTCGATTGTCTGGCCAAGCTAGCCATTGTTCAACGCTTCAATCTTATTCCCCAAAACAGAATGTTCTGGTTGTGCACGAACTGTATGCCAAAGGTTTGGCAGTCAAAGACGCTCGTCTACGTCCCGGAGATCAAATTCTTCGCGTAAACGGTACACCACTGGTTGGTCTTCCGTTTATCGAGGCAGTCAATCGAATCTATTCCGCTCACAACGAGGTACTCTTGAAACCCATATCAAGTCCGGACGAGGGCAATACTTCAGACGGCACGGAGAATATGGAAATAGCCAACGGACTGAAGCACGTTCTCACGCTGGAAGTGAGACGACCACAAATAGATCAGTCCAAATGGTACGACCAAGAGATTACAGTGGAATTGGCGAAAAAGTCTGGAAAAGGATTGGGAATTGGTATTGCCGATCGGTGCGTGTATTCGCATCATACAAGCGTGCCCCAGAAGGAGAATGGTCAGATGATTTCGGATCACGGCCCAAACAGCCACCCAGATGGTGCTAATAATCCATCCTATGGGGTTATAATTACGGATATCGTGAGTTCCAGTGTTATCTTCAATTTCATATTTTAACCTGGGACAGCCGCTACTTTTTTCTGAAGACAAAAGCAAACATCCCCTCACCGAATTACTGTTTGAGTTACCTGATGAAGCAAGTATAGCAGCATGATAATTTGACAATCAAAAACCGTATAAGAGGTCTCGTGATTCCATCAGCTTATTAAAGAAGCCACATATTTTACTTCCTGTCGAATTGATTATGCGTCAAACTATTCACGGGGTGGAGCAACGATCATCACTTTTGGCTTCTTGTAAAACATCATCTCATCACACACTCCAGGTCCCATCTCCCGTCCATTGACAGCAACTATTATAACATTGGGCATGGAGTGGGGTGAAACTTTATGTTCGGAGCAGAAAACCATGGGATTCAGCACAATTCCGTCTCAGATCGTGATAACTTCCGGGGACATCGCAATCAACTCTCCCAATAATCGCGCANCGCGCACTAAGATGAATCAATCACATTTGCCAAACACTAACTTGTCTTATTCCGGCCTAGCCTCAGTTACTTGGCAGGACACGGTAAAACTGAAGACGCTGATTCCTGTTTGTCTGCATGTGCGTTTACATGTTTTCTCGTAAAAGTGACTATTTAGAACCAAGTGAGAAAGGAGCTCAATCATTAACCGCATCACATTCTCGTTAACTGAGCGAGTCAGGGAAGGTGGAGAGCGGCAAGTCACAATCTAAATTCACCTTACCGATTGTGACAGTTCAGCAATTGCACCTAATCCATTTAGACACTTCGATCAAGTGGATTTGTCGAGCTAGCATCACCATGGTGATTACCACAGCTTATCAACGCGTCGCAGTGATCACTAGTCCCGGAGGCGGCATTTACTAGGCAAAACACGTGATGGTACTGCTTAGCTTTGTTTTCATTGGGCAACCTTTTCCCCACTGGTTTCATTTTCGATGATTTTCTACCTTGATTTTTTATCCAACAAACTTAAATCCTACCTTCGGAGCAGTGACAATTTAACTGAAAATGAACAAATCAAGACTGAGAAAAAGCAAAGGTCATGTTATTTTACCGTTTATAAAAATTGCCTGAATCGCTGACCCAGAACAAGCCCGCATACTGGATTGATCAACCGTCGGGAACAAAAGTGTATATACAAACGACGGTTACCGCAATTAGAAGTGAAAGGTTAGCTCTATGATGACGAGAATGGTTTTTAGCTTATGAATTACCCACCGACATTTATACGCTTTCTCATATAAACAGTACAACCCATTATAAGAAAAGAAATAATCCTGTACTCGGAGAAAATCATACAACGGAAGTGGATAACTGAACACAGTCTTAGTCGAACATATGTGACAAACGGATGGCGCTTATAAAGCATTCAAATCAAAAGGTGAGATTGACTCGAAAAGGACACTTGGGGAGATAGAGCAGTTATGTGATTGGTTAATATACACGGTTGGTGTGGGTTCAGATGTAAATTGGAATAGCGTATACGTAATAAATCAGACCTGTAACTCCTGCTGCGGTTTTTAGGATTTTTCCATCCCAGCTTTTAACTGATTGCGATAGAAAATTTTAACATTCATCACAAATCGAAGTAGATGGAAAATTGTTCGAGTTCGCAAGCATTGAAAGATTTGTATTACAGAGAGAATATTGTAATATATAACTATTTGATTCTTGATAACTATCACCGACTACAAATTAGGTTCCAGCAATAGTTGACTAAGTTTGGCGTCGGTGTGCTCATCGATGGCAAGTTGTGTAATTTCAAATTCAAATTTAAATTTTTATCATGGGAAAAAACTTACAAAGACTTCACTTATCAAATCCCATAGGGTGTTTACACTTTGGTTCGGAACACGATTCACAAGATCACAGTTAATTCATGAAAGTAAAATAGTAATGCAATGTTTTTGACGGGCACAAGTAAATATATCATGTAGTTGGGTATTGAAACATAATGTTTGCCAGAGCATTATCAAGCTGACGCTTGAAAGATACTAATGTTGGTGCATAGACCACGTGAGGTGGTAGAGAGTTCCATGTGCTG